GGTCGTCTAGCCGCCTTGAAAGGCAGGCCGTGTTAACAGTGTCCAGATCTTGGGCGATGCATCCCCGATCGACTACAATCTCCCCCCGGAGTATCGTGAGGCGATCAGGATGTTTTTCAGCTACGCTCGTGGACGTGGTATCTTTACTGGCAGCTTGGAGGAAGTGGTGGCTGAAATCCCCAAGTACGACGGATATCACTTCCGAGAGGACCGCACACACAGGTCAGCCCTAACGAACGTCCTCGTGAATCGGGTGCGTCTATGTCAGGTGGAATCCACGTTTGCCCAGCTCTCAGATGCGGACTTCCTGCGCTTGATGACGGAGTATCCGTTTGAAGCGGAACGGAAATTCCTGATGCGTCACGTCTTCAATCGGACGCTACAAAGCCAGCAGATGTCCCGCCGCCTTCAAAGGCAGGCCGAGCTGAAGGAGGCGCGTGATCAATGCCCGGACCCTTGGGAGCAAACTTGGGTACCGGAACCAGAGATCCCGGTGACTGGCATGAAGGAGGTCGAAGTGCCCGCGGAGCTTCGGGAGTGGCACTACGGTGTTCAGCGGGACATCGATGCAAAGCAATCCAGCTATGCAGAAGGCCGTTCCCGCCCAGCACCAGCTGTGGCCGCATCCTCTTCATCCTTGAACCCCCCTATGGTGACTGCATCTTTCGATGAGGTGATCGATGCCATTCCGTACCGGACCGAGGCCAGCCGCACATTCTCTGCAGCGAAGGCCGCACGCAAGTCCGAAGCCACTACGGAGGCACCCAGCTCCTCTACAGCCCCGCCCAGCGGTGGCCGAAATTTGCAGATTAACCCAAGGGACTTGATCGGGTACAAGGTTGGGGATGACGACGACCTCAACGACATGCTCGGTGCCGACGACAACCACTACTGCAGACTCACCGGCGACGACCCTGAGCACGATGACATGAGAGTCATCAAGAAGGCCGACATCCCCATGGACTACTTGCAGAAGCCCCCTCGCTGGGTGGACAAAGTGTCCAAATGGATGAGCGGAGCAGTGAGGGGTTCGGTCGTGGAGTCGAGGAGCAGGGTCGGCAAGTGGATCCGGGTAGAGGAACTACTGTTTCTGTTAAAACGGCGGCACAACGTCGAGATCGGTCACCGGATGTTGCAATCAGTGGTCGCTCATGACAATAAGGGCCGGTTCCTCCTCGCCGGGCATGCCAAGGACCCGCGCAACGACTACATTGACTGCGGGGTCTGGCCCTTATGGATTTCTGCCAGCCATGGGCGCAGCGCGCGCATCCAGGACGAGGTCGATGATTCCAGCATCGCCACCAGGTGGCTCGACCCACGGAGGCGTGCCATTGACCGAGTCCCAGCTGCCTACAAACGCAAGCCGTTCTTGTGCCGTGGCGACGAGGGCTTTCCGACTCGGCTCTACCATCGGACCACTCATGATGCAGCCTTCCAGATCCTCGAGGATGGTCTCATCCCAGATTCCGTGGCTCGGGGAAGTACCATTGTTACTTCGCAAAGGCCACGTTATCCGAACTGGGGAACAGGGCAGGAGTGCGTGCCAATCTGCATGTCGAGCTTGTGTTTGACACGGTGGAGGTGCTGAAGCACGCCTATCTCTTCGAGACGGAGTCGGAGGGGATCCTATGTCGCGAAAGAGTCCCGGGTGAGTGCGTTTTGTACGTGAGGGACTCAGACAGCAACGTGACCCTATGGACTCGACCATCGCCGGGGGACGAGGACATCGAGGTCATTGTTGAGATCGCGGGGATGACGACTATCGAAGACGATGATGAGCCCGCGGACCTTTTCTCGTTTCCCGAACCGGCCGAACCCGAAGAGGAAGCTGCCAGGTCATCCAAGAGCCCGAGGCTGAGGCTACAACGATGGATGAGGAAGTTCCAGCCCCACCTAGTGGAGGCCATGGAGACGATGAAGCACCACCAGTTTCTGGCACCTCGGACACCGCGATGCGCGCAATCCTCCACGCAACAGCTGCCGATGTTCTCCCTGAGGAGACGGCCTTGTTGGAAGAGGATGATGGTGCTGGCGTTGGAACGGTTGAACCTCCACAGCCTTCGGAGGAATTACCAACCGCTGACATCACCGAGGCGGACACCACCATGGCAATGATCGACGTTGAGCCGGAGGAGACGGCAGCAGCAGAGGCACCGGTGGCACCAAAGGAAGAGCATGTTACCAGACCTGCCAACAAGATACCAACGGAACCCCCGCATCGCATTCTGTCTCCTCCAGCCCCCTCATCGGGTGGCCGTCGACGTGCCTGCCCCCATTGTGGCACATCCCACTTGGTGGGACAGATGGTGTGTCTGCGATGCAAAGCTCAGCTAGCCAAGGCCACAGCGCAGAGCCAACGCAAGCGCATCAAGACCGACAGATGGTTTCAAGAGCAAGCCGCAGCCATTGCCACAGGCAAGGCACGCTCTCGTCTGACCGTCGAGGAAGTCCTCGCCAACATCCGCAGGGAAGTGGGAGGACGTGGCGCCCAAAGTTTGGACTCGGTTGCCATCGAAAAGGCGAAGCAGATGCTAAAGCTCGCAAACAAGCAGGGGTGTGCCAGGATTGTCGAACGATTCGATACCGACGCTGAGTATACCCTCACATCCCTCAGCAACGGCTACGACCGTGATTTCCTGAAGACGCAAGATGTGCTTGTTCACGGCATTCTGCCGAACCTTGGTCGCAATCAGGCACAGCGGACGCTTGGCACCGGTGTCCACGGCTCTGGAAGCTGGGACAGACCGGAATCCCCGGAAAGCGTCGCAAGGTTGCTCTACCTGCACGATTGCAATCCAGCCGCTCTTAGAGCAGGCCTGCTGGGGACTGAACAGGACGACCCGCTCGCGATCATGTGGTTGGGGGTCGCCTACAGCATTTCGGGGTTCATCCAAGTGTTCCTGCAGCACCGCATCGTTGACAGGCTGCAGTGCTTCACGGAGACTCTCTACCTCGATCCCAGCTTGGATTACACGGCTGCAGAATGGGACCAATGGCTGAGGCAGAGACTGAACACGCAGCTCCAACCAGCCATTCGTGCCCATGAAGAGCGACTTGCTGATGCTGAACGTTCCCGGGCAGCCCAACGTGCCGCTGATGAACGCCATGCGACAAAGGGTGATGGCAAAGGAGGAAAGAAAGGCTCGTCAAAGGGGCCTCACCCCTACTCCCGTGGCGGCTATGGCTACCGTCGCTGAGCGCTGAGCCAAGGCTTTGATCGTTTTCTGACACGTTAATCGCTACTCCGAATTCCAGCCCCTCAAAGAGGTGGCCACTACTTCAAACCCAAACAAAAAGGGTCAGTCGTGAACATCCGACTTCGCCGCATCGCGGTAACTCCGAACCGATCGCAACATGGATGGAGTA